AGTTGATAACAATGTTGGTATGTTGTATAACTCTGAGCAGTTGTCTGGGTGTAACTAAATGTACCCCAACACTGCCACCTTTTATGTAAATGCTTTTACTGTGTGTTCAGTAAAGAGTGGCTCCATAACTTGTGCCAATGCTCTGTATGGGAGTGGTAATGAAAAATTCACAGAGAATGTAAAAGTCAACGGTAAAAGCTGTTTAGGGCAAATTATGGTTTCTAACATCACTCTGGTTAAAGCAGATCTTGTCAAAGAGGAAGATTATTTACCAAATCAAAGTGTGAATGTTTTAGTCCTCTATGAGTTTACTGTCCGTGTGCCTTTAGCCAGAATCCACCATGAATGGAATGGGGCTCAGCATGACGTTATAGCTGGTATAAAAAAGTTATTGCCTAAGGATCTTTTGATTGGGGAAAATGTTAAAGCTTTGTTCAGTCCAGGTAGTCAGTCACAGGACAGGAATGATCTTAAACCTGTCTATTGTGGGCAATGATTTGCCTGGGGAGGGTTGCTCCAAAGGCTTGTCTGAGAAGAGCTATTTGTCTGTAAATGAAGTTTCTGAATGTCGGTCTAGTGTCTCAGAAGTGAATCTGGAGTTAAATCAAGAGCAGCAAAATCTTATTGGGCAGGAAAATGTTTCTCTGGAGCAGATTAAAGAGGATGGTCAGGTGGAAGCCTTAACTGAGGAGGGAAAGGGTGGATTTTTGATGGGTGACGCATTGGTCACTAGTACAGCTTGTAAAAGTGAACCTGAAAAGGGTAACTGATTTGCTGGCAGTGGCTCAGTGTAGTAAGAGCAGTTTATCTGTTGGGAGTGGCAAGGTGCCTGGTAAGGAAGCTGCCCCACTCTCCCAGTCTTTGTGATCAGCCCTGTGTGCTGGGACAAAGGAGAGGAAGGCAGGAAAAGTTTGGAGGAGCCAAGGCAGCCTTGTGAGCTGATGGCTTTGTCTAGTCAGCAGTTTGGGAAGGCAGGGATAGTGGAGGATGAATGTCCCTGTACCTTACCTGTTTCGTGTGTGGAGAATAGTGATAGTGAAGGAAATGTGCCTGTATCTATCAGGGGTATTGACTTGCCTACGGAGGAAGCTACCTCAGTCTCCAAGCAGTTGTCTGTGAACAGCCCTGTGTGCTGGGACGAGGGAAATGAAATCCCGAGCTGTGTGTCTGGTAAAAAAGGTGTTGCCAGCTCTTTGTCTGTGGAGCAGACAGAAGGTGCCTTTCAGCCTGTGATGGTTGAGAATAGTGCAGTTGTCTCAGAATTGGTTCTGAATTCAACTAAAGCCCAGGAAGGGAATGGTCCTAAGTCTGTGTCTGCTGGGGAGAATGGCACTGTAACTAAGTTGCATCCAGTTAGTGTCTTAGCAAAATCCCAGAGACCATTCTGGTGCTTATATTTTGCCTATTGCTAGTGTGTGGTTGGTAAAGGGTGTAGCAACTCTGTCTAATCCGGGTAATACCCTAGCCAGGGCACAAGGAGAGCATGAAGGTGATTTGGTTGTGTTACCTTCTGATGGTGTGGAAACTTGTAGCAAGAAGGAAAGGATTCCTGAACTTGTGTGTGGTAAAGGGAAGGGAAATGTTTCTAACCTTTTATCTAGGAAGTCTATGGGTTTGCCTGAAAGGGGATTGTGTAGAAATCTGCCTGATGGGCCAAAGGTGATCCTGGATGTAAGTAAGACCCAGAAAAAGTCTGTTGTTGCTCAGGAAAGTGTTCCTTTAGAGCAAGCCCTAGGTGAAGAGGATAAGGGCAAAATTTCTGTGAGGGGTGATTTGCTGCTTAGAAAAGCTCCTGGGGAAAGGAATCCTCATGGTAATCTGTGCAAGCAGTTCCCTGAAACTGAAGGGTGTGAGAGTGATTTAATAAAGGAAGTTTCAGTTCCTAACAGCCAGAAAGATCCAGTGTGGGTAGCTTTGAGAAGGTCTCCAATGGAGTAAGAGCTGTTAAGAAAGTTGAGCAACCCTATAACCAAGTGGCTGTGTTTGGCCAGCTTGTTGGGTAGGGTTACCATATGTCCATTTTTTCCCCAGACATGTCCGGCTTTTCGGCAATCAAACCGCCTTCCGGGGGGAATTGCCAAAAAGCCGAACATGTCCGGGAAAAATACCGGCCAGGCACTTCCTCTCCTGCAGCTGCTCTGCTCCTCCCCGGACTCAGACTTTGGCTCTGAGTAAGAGCCAAGCTGCCCGAGCCAGCGCTACCGGCTTCGGGCAGCCCCCATGCTTCCGAACCCTGCGCCGTCGGAGCAGAGCAGCTGGAGCTGGGGAGGAGAAGTGCTCAGGCGGAGATTTTAGATTCTAAAGGATTGGCAACAGCGTGATTTGTGGGTAAGATCTGATTTGTATATTGACCTGGGTCTGGGGCTTGGTCCTTTGGGATCAGGAGAACCTTTTTCTTTTACTGGGGTATTGGTTTTCATTTGTCCCCATAACGAGTGGCACTGGTGGTAATACTGAGAAACTAGACTGTCTAAGGAGATTGCTTGTGAGACTTGCGGTTAGCCAGTGGGGTGAGACCGAAGTCCTCCTAGTATGGCGAGTTTGGTTTGCTTTAGAGGTGGAAAAAACCCCAGCTTTGGGCTGTTTGAGCAATTTGTCCTGAGTTGGCACTCTCAGTTGGGTTCCGCCAGAACCGCATTGTCACAGGCTGTTTTCTAGGGATCGGCCTAGAGCCTGCAGATACTGTCAGCCAGCGCGGGGCAGCGGGAGCCCATATCCCCCCAGCCCCCAATCAGCGGAGGGGACTCCAGGCCCCCGTCTGCTCCCAGGGGAAGGGTAGAGCCAGTGGTCCCCAACAGTGCCTGTGGGTACCATAGCGCCCGCCAGGGCATTTGTGTGCGCCCGCCTACTGACAAGGGAGCGCCCCACAGTTGAGGAGCGCGGCCGCCGGACAAGCAGCCGCCGAGAAGCGGCAACACCAAGAAGCGTAGCTGCCCAAACGTCGCTGCGAAGCTTCTCAATGACACTGCTTCTCGGCGGCAGGTCGTCCGGCGCCCGCCCACACTGAAAGGCTGGGAACCACTAGGTAGAGCGCTGGCATCCTCCTTTCCCCCACAAATCACCCAGGAGGCAGGAGGCGGCTGGCTCTGGGATGCTCCCAGGGCCCCGGCTGAGGGAGCCAAAGGAACCAACCTGAGAGGGGCCACAGCCCCCCGGCGATAGGTGCGGTCTACCCCCACTTCCTAGCTGGGTGCTCCCCCAGCAAAGCTTCCTCCCACTTGATTTCCAACAGGAAGCGGGAGGGGGTGGGTCTGGGAGCCAGGACTCCTGGCACACCCCAGAGGGGAAAGGCCCCGTGACCCAGTCCCTGCCATGGACCTGAATGTGAATTTAGTCAGTTTATTCAGAACATTGTGAATTACAGAACGCCACAAAACCCATCTGGGATCCCCCCCACACCTGACAGCCGCTCCCCCACCTCCGCTCAGCCCCACCAACCCTCCCACTGCCAGCATCTGGTCCCCCCCTTAACACTGACCCCCCACCTTGTGCAAGAGGGGACAGCTGGACTGGGCTAGGCCCCCAAAAACTCCACCCCATAGAGGTGTGTCCCACCCGCACTCCTTCCCTAACATGGGTGTGGCTCCCTACAACTGCACCCCTTTGGGGGCGGGGCTCCCCTAGCCCCAGGCAGGACGGGGCCATCAGGCCCAGCTGTGCTGCTGGAGGGTCTTGAGGGCCAGGGTCCAGCGCTCCAGCCACTGCTGCAAGGTGAGGCCCAGGCGGTGCTCCGCAGGCAGGGCAAACTGCCCTGGCTGCTCCCACCTGCAGACAGGGAGGGGAAGAGAGCAGGGAGCAGTGAGATGACCCCTTCCGGCCCCGACCCCCACAGCTCCTCCCCAGCATAGACACCCCCACATCCACCCTTACCCCCCTCGCACACACGCTGTCCCCCCGACATCCTTCCTCATGGCACATGCCCCCCGGCCTCTCCCTAGGAACGCCCATTCTCCAGAGGCACCAGGCCACCCCCTTCCTTCCCGCCCCAACCCCCAAGACCCCCCGATCAGTCCCTCCTGTGCACCCACCACTTGGGCCAGCCCCCTTCTTCCTCACAGCCCCCACCCCAGGTAGGGGAGAACCAACCCCCAGCACAGGATGGGCAGAGCCTCTCCCCTCCGGAGAACAAAACATCCCATAAACCAGGTGGGTGGGGCCTCCTCACCAGGCGTCAATGGCGGCCTGCACCTCGGGCCAGCGCTCGATGCGTTGCCTGCACTGCTCCGTCACCAGCCGGATCCGCGGCCCCAGGGCTCCGGCCTGCTCCCGGTCGTGGTCCCGCAGGGCCTGCACCAGGGCTGGGGGAAGAGACGTCAGTGAGGCCTGGAGGAGTTATGGCTTTGTGGGTAGTGGGGGGGAGGGGGGTGCTGAGCTGCTTGGTGGATGCCATGGTCCTGCCGACCCTCAGGCCGGCTCATGCCCCAGGAGGGTGCCCCTTGCAGACCCTGGGAAGGGTCCTCAGGTGGGGGGGGGGGGGTGGCGTCCCCCTGTCCGTCTGGAGCCATGGAGGGGATCTCACCTTGTGCGTCGGTCCCTGGGGAGCC